TTATCCATCTTTTTAGAATTTATGTATATTTAAACTTTTCAAAAACCAAATTAAATAAAACTTCTCGATCTTTTTTTTGACAGTGATTAAATATAAATATGTAGTTCATCATTCACAGCTTTAAGTTACTCATAGATGATAGTAATTGTTATAAATTAAAACAATTGTTTCATATCATTTATAAAAATCTAATATAGACATTTAAAAGAAAATTTCTTGAAATTGTAGTAATTGTATTACAGAGAATGATTTTAACTTTTTTACTACTAAATTAATATTTTTCTATTATTGTATACCTATGCCAAAGTTTTGTTAACTTTTGACAATATTGCTGTATGTATAAGCAGTTGAGGGATAATAAATTTTGTAATAAAAACAGTGCCACAAATAGCAGAAATTTGTAAATATAAATATAAATTTGTATATATAAATTGAACTAAACTGAAAATTTCAGAATAAAAATGAGAGTATAGAATAAGTATTTATTCATACCACAATTTACATAAGTAATTTTTCACTTTGTTTAAAGATTGGTACGAAACAATATACTTTTTGGTAAAGTCTTTAATTTGATTGACATAATAGACTTGTAAATTGTACTGGATAACCGATTTCCTGGTCTCCTCTAAAACATTTAAGAAGAAACATACCTTCCACAATAGACAACTACTGTATCATATTATTAATCATCTATACAATATAGAGCACCCAGTTTTTAACATCTCACTTGAGCACGACTTGTCTTTCCTATTGTATAATCAGGTTTCGATTATCATAATTTGTACCTAGATGTGCTTGAGATAAAAATAGTAGATGAATAGAAAGACCGCACAATCATATACCTACATTGAGGTCCAGTTGAAGTGATTGTCGCCAAACATTATCAGTATAGTATAGCTTAACCTGTTACCCGGGTGACATTTCGGCCATCAATACCCGTATAAGCACAATTAAATATAAATAAAATAAATTTGAGGTAATTTACTCTATAATACACGTATATATTATTATAATTCATGCTACCTGAGATATGATAACACTAGGAAGAAAATTTTCTGGCAAATAGATGAGAAAATAAGAAATAGTTAAAGTTAATCGTATAAATAAATACAAAGGACGAAGCAATTCGTCTTCTCCGGTTAACAGGTTAATATAGCATTTAGTGTATATTCTAATGCTATTAACACCGGTAAAAGAACTATGTATGAATTTCCAAAGTGTGCACGTGTGTATGTCCAGAGTGGCCAAGCCAACAATATCTGTATTTTGAAAAAAATGACGAAACAAACAAAAATAACTTTTACATTGAAATTAATATTTCATAAGGTACGATTAGAAGAAAGAATTCCATGAAGGAAAATATTTTGGAATGCAGCTAAAGCCATATTTCGTACAATATGTGTCTTCACTATTTAATATGTAATTATGTATTAAGATAGTTCTTTCCGGACATATTTTGGAAACATTTGATTTTTCTACGAGTATTGCATACTTTCATGAACATATATAACAAAATATAATTTACATATCAAATCTATTGACTTAGATCTAGGAACAATAGATATAAATTCTTTTTATTATTTGTATTCTACAATAGGACAAACAATTTAGTATAAAGTAAATTTATATAATATTTGAGTGCAAATTTACTTAATAACACAAAACATCACAAATGGTTTGCATGTTACATTTACCTGATCAAATATATTTTTAGAAATAACATTACATACATGTTTACGTATAAATAATTTAAGTT